ATGAAGATTATTATGGGCATACTGACTGTGGGATTTTCAAGGATGTATACGTCTGTAGTAACGGCCCACATTCAGTTGAGCAATTCTGGACTTGATAGCACCCTTTAGTATGCGAAGCAAAACAATCCCTGATGAAACGGCAATGTGAACGCTCAAGTTTCTGACGGACTGTGTTGATATATGTAAAAAGAGCAGATTGTAGAATTTGTATTCATGCTCAGGTGGGGGTTTCGTGTTTGCGAGAGTTGCATTACCGCAAGTGTTGGAACAGTCTTCATGAATGTCAGGACAGAACATGCCAGTCGGCATACATTCAGTACATGTTAGAAAGGTACGGTATTTATCTGAAAAGTGGATATGCATACAGAGGTTGTTCGGAGATCAGTTGTTGATGCCATCGGCAGTTTCAATCTTGGTTGACTAACTGTCCGATGCAGATCAAGTCTGGTACCAAATGAAAATGGACCGAGTATTTATTTGTAACCTGATGTGTCGAATGCAGGGCAATTAGGGATACTCTTTCTGGCGTGCCGCATACTATTCAGAATAGTGATCCTATATATAGTGTCCATGACGTTCCAGCGTGTACCAGATACAAAGATTGGACTGAGTATTTGTAGCCTGATGGAAATGGACTGGCATTTGCGATTCTGTGGCATCGGGGGAACAATCCTATCGCAGTTATGAGGTGCCCAGCTGTCATCCTCGTCCTGCATAGATAGCAATAGGAAGGGCGGTATGAATCATGTGTACCAACTGGCATTCACATAGCTGAGTTGGCATAGCTCAGTTGGTACAACCCTCATGAACTGTTGAAATGCAGACCCCTATCGGAGTTTGAATTCCAATCGAATCAGGTGAGTGAAAATAACTCTGAATTTACCTGGGGCTGTTCAGCTAAAAAAAACGATATCTCGCGGTTGTCATCGCACCCTTTGGAAGGACAACGAAAAGAGAGAGAGAAAGTGTATCATGCTGTTCTGCCAGTTGACTAGCAGACTATCTTTGCTCTTTTTCTGTTGGGCAGGTCTTCCGAATGCTGTCTGGACGGTAAAGAGGAATGTAAACGACGAGTTTGACTCTTACATTGTGGTGTCCTTCGCCAATGCAACACTGGTGCTATCCATTGGAGAGACCGTAGAAGAAGTAAGTGGCACGCTTCACCCTTGCGGCGTATGGAGCAGGAGAGATTGATAATGTGCTTATAGTTGAATTCCAATGTGCCCATGAATGAATGCTCTTGCAAAGCCGGATTCATTTGTTCTTTTGTTCTTTATTTTTAGCTGGTTAGTGAGGAAAGAGGGCCAGCCTAGTGCAGTTGTCTTTCTTCATTGTTAGGTTTGACTGCACACGTACTACCCGTCTTCACCCAAACAGAACTCTGTATCTATAGACCGAAAGTTGCCCCAAATACCGCTATGATGACCGGGTGTTCTATCCGGGTGAAGATGGTAGCATGGATATGCTGCAGACGTAAGACCATGGGTGTGACGGTACACCCTACACCACCACCACCGTGACCCTTATCTTAGAGAGAAAAAGGACTTCTTAGTCTCTCTGCCGTGTGGGGCGTGTGGAACCTCTGGTTACCCATGGGAACATGGTGCAATGATCTTGACCAGTCTGGATGCCTGTGAAATTACCTGGGTGCCCCTGTCATGAGGATGTATGTGAACGTCTGCTCGTCCAGGTATTGACTATGCGTCTGAGTGTCTGCTTGCCAAACGTCTCCAGAGTTGACGATGCGTCTCTCCCTTTTTTATAGATCTTCCGGTTGGACTGTGAAGCACAGTGCAGTCCCTTATTCGAGAGTGATTTTTGCACTGTTTCGTGAGGTATACTGCTGAGTCGTCTGCCGGGGAGTTATCACCTGATGGGAACGGACGTGCCATGATGGAATGTCATGGTCATCAAGAATGATGAAACTAGTAAGTTGTAACCATTCTGTTTAGTGCTATAGGCACATTTTTGGCGTATCGTGTTGATTTTTGTGCAAATCGATTTATATATGTTTTGAAAACTAGTATGTTGTCGTTGCTACCGTCTTCCCCCGAACATAAGCCACCCTGATCACGAACGCGTACAAACTATATCTACGACCCGATCCAGTCACGTTGAGTGTGCAGTGTGTGCGGGGGAAGACGGTAGCATGCTGCTGGGCCATGATGGTTCCTGCGTTTCGGCACGGGGACGACCGTATGCAAGGAGCAAAAAGTAATCGGACACAGTGAAGATGGCATAAGAACTCAACGATAGGAACGGATGGTGGCAAGCCTGTAGCGAGAGCTCTTCCACTCTCCAACGCCTCATTTCAGGAATCGAAATTCGATGCGGTTGTCATCTGTTGTTGAGGAATATTGTTCTGTATGACTTTAGTTAACCCTTGACGGTAATGGTTTCTGCAGGTCAGCGACAGTGGATTTTTGGGTACGACACCATCGCTGGGGGTGTCATTGATTGGAGAAGACTCTCTGATGCAGGTGCGGTTCCCCCTCTGCTGTTTGGTCATATCACCTGCCTCTAATGCCCTGGGCTATGCATGTCTTGATGAGTAGTGAGCCCTGATGTCATCGACTTTTGATTGGGTGTTTCGGTGGCTAATAGAGTGCCATGGTCGTAGTGGCATGATGCTTCTTATACATACTTCCCATGCTTGCGGGCTCTCGCTTACTCTTGACCGCAATCTTTTAGTGTTGCAGTACGTCAACGATTCTCTTGGCTTGTGTCTTTCCTCTGTTTTGATACGTTCTTAGGCTGCACTCGTCCTTTCCATCTCTCTCCCCCTGTCTCTGCCTCTCTATCTCTGTCTGTTCAGAAGGTAAGAGGCTAGGGGAAGCCTGCGATTCTCGCCCGGGCTGTCTCATTATAATTGGTAGATGGATGCTATAGTCCAAAGCGGTAATCGGGAAGGCTTGCTGCCAATGTCTCAATCTTCAACAGTAGCTGGACTGAGACTTGTACGACACGTTGAGCTGATCTCTGTACAGTGCACTTGAATGCACTTGTGCTGAACTCATCCCGCCAAGCCTAAGTCTCTTCGATGTTCAATTTCTTTGTTTGTGATGTCCTGCTCTCTGTTCCTTCTCTTTGCCGAGACCCGGCTGTTGCGCACACCGCCTCCTGACTGCTGTCTGGGCAGCAGGTAGTGTTCCTTATGTCATACTGCCGTGTTCCTATGACCAGCATTTTATTATTTCTGTTGGTGGTGAATATGTGAAGGTTATTAACTGTACGTATAAATGTGTGCGTGTGTCTGTGGAGAGAGAGAGAGAGAGAGAGAGAGAGAGAGAGAGAGAGAGAGAGAGAGAGAGAGAGAGAGAGAGAGAGAGAGAGAGAGAGAGAGTATATTGAAGGTGATGGGGTGTCGGGCGCTGAGGGATGTTTGGAGACAATTGGGTCCTGCTCTGAAAGTTATGGAAGCATGCATGCCTACCCGCTGGAGGTAGGTATTGACTTCATGATTTTGATCTCCCGAGTGTTTTGGTTGCGGTTTGATATGTTGTTATCAAGTGGAACAGTTGAATTGCAATCTGAATGGCATCGGTGGGACTCACAGGTGCACCCTCATGGTATTAGGCACATACGAGCGGATGGACGTATTAACGAGTGGCAGACACCTGGAAAGAAAACAATTATGAAGGTTGGAAGCAATAGGCAGCAGGTGGTAATTGCCTTAAGCGGTGGAGAGTTGACGTATTTTGAGATGGACATCACGGGGCAATTGACAGAAGTCGAAGGGCGAGACATTTCGGGTGATGTTGCGTGTCTTGATATTGCGCCGGTGCCGGAGGTGAGTACCATAATTTCAAGTCGAAAAAATAATATATATATATATATATATATTTTTTTTTCTGGGCCTCAAATTCAGTTCCACCCCTGCTGTGTGTGCCTCAACTTCAGATGCCTGCTGTGTGTGCTCAATGGGGATTTGAATTAATGTCACTCACAAGTCTGAAGGGTGAGAAGAGCAACAGTTGTAAGTTTCACAGATGCTTATTGAAAAAACTTGACACCTAGGCTACCAGCCGGGCCGCCCGGGTCACCCTATTTCCCGGACAGCCCGGCCGTGCAAGGACCAGGGAAGGTCCTAGCAAAAAAAAAACAGAAAAAAAAAATCCGAAAAAAAACTATGTTATGCCGAAAAATAAACCGAACAAGTTTTGCCTCAGGGTCACATCGAAATTCTTTACCATATTAAAAAAAAAATATATATATATATATATTTGTGACGTATTTTCGGCCCGCCCGGGCAAGTGACCCCGGGCCACTCTGGTAGCCTAGCTTGACACCAACTGTGAAATGCTTCTAGTACAGAGCAGAATCATCAGCAGAACACGTTTCCACAAGGTTGCATGCCAGGCAGGAGGATGTTGTGACGAGTCGGACAGTCAAGGCAGTCACTCTCCACTGCGATCGTCTCACGTCCCCAGGCAGAAGGAGGTCGTGACGAGTCGGACAATCAAGGCATTCAATCTCCACTGTGGTCATCTCCGAGGGAACCATGGGAGTGGAATGTTTGGTGCCCAGGGGCAGAGAGGAAGGGGGGGGGGGAAGGGGGAGGGGGACGGGGTATGTCTGCAGAAAGGGGACGGGATATGTCTGCAGAAAGGGGACAGGGTATGTCTGCAGAATGCCATTGGGATTGACATTTGGCTCAAGGTCCTCCTTGGCTGAAGTGGGGCGTGTCTTTAGCCAGAGGCTAGTTCTGAATGTTTGGTGCCCAGGGGCAGAGAGAAGGGGGGAGGGGGGGGGGGGGACGGGGTATGTCTGCAGAAAGGGGACAGGGTATGTCTGCAGAAAGGGGATTGGCATTTGGCTCAAGGTCCGCAGGGCATGTCTTTAACCAGAGGCTGGTTGTGAACGACCACCACCGAAAGGAGACAGGTATAGTCGTCCAATTTTGATTCCAAAGCCAGGGAGTAGTCCGGCGATAAACCTTCTAGGAATCCTTAATCTTTCCGTCGTTATCGACAGTAGCCTATGGCGTAAGGTATAGGTGCAGGCAGGCAGGTGTCCCAGGGAAATGCATGTTGCAGCCCTGGAGGTCAGTGCTGCGATATCTCAATACCTGAGAGTCCAGTCGATGTATATTGTGATTGCCTAAACCCCTAAACCTTGGTCAGCTGCTCAGGTAAAGACACGGCAAAAGCAGAAATGACTGTACAAAGTTACAAAAAACCATATGCATGTATGATTTCATTGATTTGTGTGTAGTGAGTCAGTTTCCGAAGGATTGCCAAGCATTCGGTACATGAGTCACAGCTCAATTCATGGTGACGAAATGAAATAAGAGCAAAAGCTGCGAAACTAGAGTATTGTTGCAGAGAATCCATTTGTACTTTTATCTCTGTCTATTACCGCAAATTTCAGTGCTGGCAAATGATCTCAAGTTTCCAAAAATCTTGTTTTCTTCTATTTGCCAGCCACAAACCAATAGTATTTCAGAACTCAGCGCGGAATGGCGGAGAGCAATGTAGAAACATGTATGAGTGCATAAGCTTCCCCAGACGGCGTTTGGCACGCTTCTGACAATCGAGGCTTGCGTATGGGAAGTGACAAATAATAGATGGGGGGCTTATGTGTTTGTTTGTGGGGAAAAAAAAAAGAAGACGAGGGATACGTCTGACAGTGAAGTATATTGAGTCATTTATTGTTGACCCTATTTGCGTAATAGTAAACTGAATGATAATATTATGAAAAATGTGAGGACCAGGCCTCAGTGGTGCCGTGTAGTGTTCCTGATAAGAAAGCACGAACCTGGTTGTAACATTGACTCGGTTCATGCTAGCTTAGCACAAACGTATTGAACCCATTGTAATGTAAACAGTTTATAAGTGGTGACTCAGCCAACTGAAAAATTTAAGTAGCTAAAGGGGAGAACACGTAGACTGGCACTCTGAAGTGTGTACTTCAGGTCCTGTCTGATTCCAATGATGCTTTTTTTTTAAGGCCAGTGTCGTCTACAGGCTCTTGTAGATAATGTTCTGAAACTCTGAGATTCTCACGTTGTGCATGCAGCTTTGGATTGTTTGTCAGAAGGTTATCGAGTAATATCAGCTCATCAGAAGTTGTGTTGGTGTACATCTTAACACTTAGTTGTGCTCTGTTTTCGCATGGTGGGATGGGCTTTTGCGGGGGTCTGTTATGTGTTTCTCGACCGTTGCAGGGACGACAACGGTCACGCTTTCTTGCTGTGGGCTCCTATGACAGTACCATCAGGATTTTATCACTGGATCCGAATGATTGCCTCCAGGTGCGACATTCGCTTCTTTGCTAATGGCTCTGCGAATCGGGCCATCTCTTCCGGCTGTTCTCCAATCTTAATTAGTGCTCTTTCCTCCCCCCCCCCCCCCCCCCCCCCCCCCCCCCCCCCCCCCCCCCCCCCCAATAACCAGGCCCCTACTATTCTCAGGGGCATCAGTCCGGTTGCCCATCACTGGCAAACAAAATTCAAGTACAAGTAATATACAGAGAAGAAATTCTAATTAAGTGCATTCTAGTATGGGTTTAAGCCTTTAAGACTTGCTGGCGCTCACGATCCATCTGTCTGTAGAGAAAAAGGGCGACCCCTCAGTTGAGTTGAACAGCCCGTACATAGGCTCACAATCACACTGGGTGAAGAGTTGCTACGGACGAGGAGCGATTAAACCCTAACCCTAACCCTAAACCCAAAAGCCCAAACCCAGAGTCGCTACTGATGAGAAGTAATTTAAAATCGGAATTTTCTTTGTTCCCTTCCTTCCACAGTGATAAACCACCACTTTTCCTGGAGTTATTTGTTTGTTGAATTTGCTGTTTGCAGAGGAGGTTTTTTTTTTTTTTTTTTTTTCCCCTCACCCGTCACCCAACCCGCCCAATTTGTTTTTTGTACCGGACACCCGACCCAAGAGTTAATTTCCACCTCTAGATGACCCCATCCGCCCAAAATAGTTTTTGAAATTTCAGCCCCACGCCCGACCCGCCCGCCACCCGAAAAAAGTCCTCACCCAGACCCACCCGCACCCGTGAGAACATCATTACCCACGGGCACCGGAGACCTAAATTTTTACCGCCCGCACCCACCCGCATCCACCTGCACCCGCCCGTGCCAGTCCCTTACACCCTGCCCACTCTCTCTTTCTCACTCCCTGCTGATGCAGCCCTGCCCACGCCGACTCCAATGCTGCCACCTCTCTCTCTGTCTCTCTCTCTCTCTCTCTCTCCCCGCTGATGCAGCCCTGCCCACGGCGACTCCAATGCTGGCACCTCTCTCTCTCCCTCTCTCTTCCCCTCTCTCATTCTCTCTCTCTCTCTCTGTGGGTGTGTGTGTGCCGATGCAGCCCTGCTCACGACGACAACACCAATGCCGCCACCTCTACCTTGCGCCGCCTTCCAGCGTCAGGACGTTGCGAAGGGCTGGACTGTTGGAGCACACCCTTTTTTTTTGCCCCGACGTTCACCCAGCTGTCACCCACCCGACGGGTGACCCACACCAACGCTTCACCCAGCTGTCACCCACCCGACGGCTGACCCACAGCAAATGTTGATGCGCCCATGACCCAGAAATGCCCAGCACGTGCCCGTCACCCACCCAAGAAGGCATAGGTAGACCCAAGCCCAATCCCATCTCCTTGTGGGTCGGGTGGGGCGGGTGGGTGCCGGTGCCGGCCTCTGGCTGTTTGCCTGGATGTGAAAATGTTGAACCTTGGCGGCAGGGCCCGATGGTGGCTCAACCGCTACTGAGGACCACACAGATTGCGATCTAGCCGCAGTCATGTCCTGCCACAGTTTCTTCTTTTTCTTTTTCTTTGCAGCTGCGATAGGGCACCATTTGTGCTCTACTGGGCGACAGTGCAACGAGGGTGTGTACGGACATGAGGGCATTCTTCTTTTTCTTTTTCTTTGTGGCTGTGGTAGGCCCACCATTTGTGCTCTACTGGTCCACACTGCAACCAGGGTGTGTACGAACATAATGCCTGGATGACATTGGAGACAGTGGTGATTTAAACCACCTCTACCCCCCCCGGCCTAAAGTCAGATTTCCGGGGAGTTAGGGCCGCAGAAAACGGAAGGGCGGCAACCGGCGGGTGCAGGCGGGGCCAGTCCCACAATTTTCGAGCGCCAACTTCGGCGATTTTTCGCGATCAGAAGAACTAGCAAAAAAATCTGAAAATTGGATATCAGGTAGATTAGGTTGTGATCTATCGAGGAAAAATATCAGAAAAATAAAATAAAAAAGTTTAGACCGCCAAATGAGTGCTGTGCTGATTCGTTGCATTTTCCATTTTTGCCAGCCGACCACTTTTGGGCTGACGGAAAAAGTACCCCAAGGATTTTTTGCGCTCAGAATAATGACGCGAAAGCTCTGAAAATTGCAGGGTCTGTAGATTTGGCCGTGATCTATCGAGGGAAAATATTTTTTAAAATTGAAAAAAAAATGTTTCAACCGCGATATATATCACGGCGGCAATTCGACGCATTTTCCATTTTTGTCGCTCGGCCGGTTCTCCCCACTGTGCTACCGGTAGTCCTCATGAACCTCTGCTACAGGTCCCCCCCAGTTTAGGACGGCGGGGATAGTGGTCATTTTAGAGTAGGTATGTGAAAAGGGGGTATTCCAAAGAGGAAGATAGAGGAAGGGTGCCCAAAACAAAGGATAGGGGAGGGAAAAAGAGGAAAGCATAGAAGTGACAAGAGATGGGAAAAAGGTGGGGGAGTGATGGAAAGGGGGAGCACGGGGGTAAAGGAGAAACAAGTTGGAGAATGGAAGAGGAAGAGGAAAAGGGGAAAAGGCAAAACAGTAAGGACAAGAAAAAGCAGAAAACAGAGAAAACGAAGAGCAGTGACAAATTCACCCGGGGAAACATGTACAAGGAAAGATGAACCGGGTGCTGCTTCTGACAGTGAAACAAGACTGCTCACTTCTTTGGTTTGGAAGGAAGGAACAGCTAAGTTGCCTCCTCATGAAAAACAAAGAGACACGGGGCATTTTGGAGTTCATCGCCCGGTCGGTGTTTTTTCTCGCTGCCTGTATGCACTGTACCAGCATATATCTACCGTCTTCTCCCGACAACGCAGGGTCATTATTGCTGTATATAGATTCAAAGTTGCCCCAAATACAGATATAATAACCGTATGTTGTGTTCGGGTGTAGACGGTAGTTCTACATGTCCGCCGCCTATTGTCCCCAGCGATCTTCTCTGCGAACACCTTGTTGTTTCTCTCGCTGCCTGCAGTCACACTACCAGCATATATCTATTTCTACATGCGCACCGCCTAGATCCTCACGAAACTTCTCTACCAGCACCTTGCAACCCTTGCGCTCATATCTCATCTTCAACCTACTTTCCATTTCGACAAGTTTCGGGTGAAGACGGTAGTTCTACGTGTCTGTCGCCTATATTGTCCCCACCAAGNAAGTTTCGGGTGAAGACGGTAGTTCTACGTGTCTGTCGCCTATATTGTCCCCACCAAGCTTCTCTATCAGCACCTTGTTGTTTCTTTCGTGGCCTCCAGTTGCACTACCAGCATATGTCTATTTCTACGTACGCACCGTCTGGCTCCTCACAAAACTTCTCTACCAGCACCTTGTAACCCTTGTGCTCATATCTCTTCTTCAACCTACTTTCCATTTCCACAAGTTTCGGGTGAAGACGGTAGTTATACTTGTATTGTCCCCACGAAGCTTCTCTGCGCTCGCCTTGTCGTTTCTCTCGCTGCCTGCAGTCACACTACCAGCATATATCTACTTGTGCTCCTCACCAAACTTCTCTACCTTGCAACCCTTGCGCTCATATCCCTGCTTTCCATTTCCCCAGTTCCTCGACTACTTCTTGACCACATTTTCTCCCGCTTGCGGGTTTTCTCCATTTCTACGTCTTGCTCATCGTTTCCAGTCTGTACAGGGTTACCCTTCTTCGTCTTTTATAAGTGGATTAGCTACTGACATTATTGTATCAATCAGGATTCAAATTCATGATCTTTTTATCGAGAGCTTCATGTGTATACCATTCAGGCTGAGTTCAGGGCCTCCCTTCTTGACCTTTAGTGCCTCTGCTTTGTCATAATTGTCTTCCAGGCTGTGCTGGTCCCTGGGTGGCCCTGACTGGCTCTGTCTGCCCGGTACCCCACCAGGCTTGCCAGGCATGCAACTCCAGGCAGTGTCCCGGGCAGTGCCACACAGAATATTAAAAGAAAAGGTAAAAGTGAAAATTGCAATGCGAAATAATCTGGAAAAGAAAAGCTGTGCCGAATTTTAAACCGCGAGTACATGGCCCCAGCCTTGTGGAGAAATTGTTTGTCACCTCCGAAAAAGTCGGGGCCTGAGCCCCATCGATAAAATTCATCAATGACCAGCGTCGTGTTTCGGGCCACCGAAACTCGCAGTGAGGGGCCTGCGGCCGACGTATGGCCGTGCACTGGTGGTTTGATACAAACAACTTCTGGCTCAGGGCCTCAAAAAATGTGTGTGTGTGTGTGTGTGTGTGTGTGTGTGTGTGTGTGAGAGAGAGAGAGAGAGAGAGAGAGAGAGAGAGAGAGAGAGAGAATGGGTACTATGGGACCTAAAAAACAGCTTGTATACATCCGAGGACCTTAAAGATAGCTTGTCTACATCCGAGGGCACAGTGTGCCCTCAAAATGTCGGATAACTGATGGCGTACTGTTTCATATACCAGCAAAAGTGAATGGATCTGCATTCCGCATGATGCGATTGTCAAGAGTCAGTCATAAGGGAATGTCATGATACTGAAGGACACTCTGGCAGGCGATGAGCGTATGCTAATGCTTTGCAACAGTTTGTGACCTGGAATGAACGATGTAATCACAGTAAGCTTCTCCCTTCTCGGCTATCTCTGTCTCTCTGTTTCTCTGTCTCTGTCTGTCTGCCTGTCTGTCTCTCTCCATTGTGGTAGCGGAGAGGAGCTCTGAACTAAAGCGAGAGAGAGCCTCTCTCACGCTTTACTTCAGAGCTCCTCTCCTTGAGAGAGAGAGAGAGAGAGAGAGAGAGAGAGAGAGAGAGAGAGAGAGAGAGAGAGAGAGAGAGAGAGAGAGAGAGAGAGAGAGAGAGAG